CAGTGAGTGAGTGAGCCAGTGAGTGAGTGAGCCAGTGAGTGAGTGAGTGAGTCGGGGAGTGAAACACGGGAAAAGATATCTCTATACCATGGGAGAGGGGCCTCCTGTGTTTCAAGCGTTAAGAAATATGGCCCGCTTCGATGCGTCGTAACAGGCACCAAGAGTGAATATTCAATGTTGAGAGGAATCGCTCATACTCGGACAACAAAATGACATATATATATATATACATATGTGTGTGTGAATCGCATTTCAGCAATCAGGTCTTGGAGGTTGTCGGCAGAGATTTCATTGCCATGCTGTTCTACGGCATGATGACAGGCACATGAGAGAGATGAAATACCCAAAGCGCACTTGCATGGGGAAGAGATCGGAAGAGCCAAGAAGAACAAACCAGAGGTCCCTCAACTCGATGTCAGCTTTGATGAAAGAAATGGACCATGTATTTGCACGTGCTTGCACGCACAGTACCAATATATATCGGACAATATGCGTCTCCCAAACGCAGGTTGAGCCCTCCTGTTAAAGTTAAAAACTGACACAAATTCAGACATGCTTCAAGTGGGCGTGTTCCAAGGTCTCAACATGCTTCTGAATTACACACATATTTGAGACATCTCACCTTTACCCTTTGGTCAGCGTGTGAGAGCATGCATTTGATCCAGAACGCAAGCAACACACCTTGTGCTGTGGGTGCTAATGTGAATGTTCTACTAGTGGCCAAAACGTTGCCATCTTGGCTTCAAGCCACAGCTGTCAGACACCCTCGTGCTTTCACAGCGGTGGGAGGAGATGACGACTGATCCTGAGCGGGCTCGCTGTGGGAGGCAACATGCTTCCCATGAAGCTATTAGATCCAGGCACGGTGCCAGTAGATTGGAACAAGTGGAGCATTTGGTTGCTGGTGCCTGGCCTGCCAAGAATCGAAATTGCAAGGATGCTGGCGAGAGGTTCTCATCAGACAGATCACGAAAGGTAGCCCCCCAGGGGATACCTCGAGATTGTCTTGCGAAGCAAGTATGGGCTCCTCCGGGGCTAATAATTGATAGTAATTCTGCAGAAGGCAACATGCCAGCACAAAACGAGAAGTGTACCAAACGATGCGGTATGAAGCCGTTTTTTGTTCAAGCGCCAAAAAAGGTGTGGCGCAGCTCAAACCAACAGGATCCAACAGGTTTTGAGCCCAGTGTCGAGGTAAACGGTAGTAAGACCTGGTTTGAGGAGGTGGATCACCAGGCAGCCCCTGCACACCCGCCGCCATGTCGATGCGACGGGACAACCTGGAGAAGAAGAGGAGGCACTGGCCGATGGCTCCGAGGAAGAGCTGCATGCGCCGGTGGGCGATCCTCGAGAGCTGGGACCTGGACCGACCAGGTTGTTCAGCCCGGAACAACTCCAGGACTTCGAGAAGGATCGGAGGCAGGCACCGCATCTCTATGGGGGAGAACCGGAGTGGGAGCGCTAGACCTACTCCTGAGCGGGATTCCCGACAACCGGCCTTCCTGCAAAGCGCGGAAGCAAAAGCGCCGCAAACGAGCGCTACTACCGGAACACCATCTCCAGGAGGACCAGGTGATGTTCTTCCTTCGGTGACGGCTGAAGAGTCAGGAAGGGCGGGGCAAATCCCGGAGGAGGGCCTTGGAGAGGAAGAAACTGGACCGCTGATGGTCCCCCAGATGATGCAGTACCAGCTGATCAGGAGAACCTGCAGGTGGCACTACGACCGGGAGAACATGAGGTACAAGGTCTGTGGGCTGGGATGGGTGGAGGACACTCCCCGTTGATGATGACCCCGATGACTCCACTACCTCATGGACAAGGACATGGAGGACCTCATGGCTTCGACCCGACGATGGTCACGCAACAGCAGATGTTGACCCTGTTCGAAGCCATTCGAAGCCCTTCGACAAGAGAACCGAGATCTACGTGATGAACTACGAGATCAAAGAGCTGGAATCGAGACTCAGATGAAGGCTCTGCAGAAGGAGATTGAAAGTCAAACATTCCGAACTCCTGAGTGCCAACCTGAACCACGAGATGATCCTGGTCAGTACCGACGCTTTGAAGGTGCCGAGCAGGAAAGGAAGAAACTCTATGAGCTCACCCCCATCCAGCAGTTCGAGTCGATGATGGGACAGACTACTCCCCAGCCCGTGCGTGGAGCAAGGGGAAGAACATGTCGCGAACGATCCCTGGTCACGAAGGAACAGAAGGAAGAAGGCCCGGAAGCAGTGAAACCAGGGACGATCACCCTACCCACGCTCCCAGACCCTTCAGATACTGCACCCGTCGACTTGGCAGACTGGCTCACGGTGATTGAACCGGCGATGACCGACCTCAGCGACTCATCTGGGCAGTGGTGGGAGTTGGTGGTCAAGGAATCGCGACAGTGGTATAGCCACTACATACAGTTGCGCCCGCTGCAAAGGACTACATGCGCCATCGAGCCGTCCGCGGAGCTCAAGAAGACTAGATGGGCAAGAGATGAGAAGCCAACGACACTGAAAGAGGAACTGGTGGCGACGCGCCCTCCTTCGCCGCTGCGACTGGTCAGCAGACTCATGGTTCTCTATCAACCAGGCGGGGTGCATGAACGCTCTATCATACTTCGACAACTCGAAGCAGGGTCTCCAAGCGAAGCCTGTCATGGACTGCGGCGGATGCGCTGACTACACCGCATAGGCCTGAATCTTCCAGACTCGACCATCCTCCTCAAGGGGATCAACAGGTTGAGCAGCTGATGCATAAGGTGCGACCTACTGCACAACCCGGAAAAGCGACGCAGCTCAAGTCGATGCAGACGGAAGAAAAAAGGGGTGATGGCGCCGCTCAAACCGGAGGAAAGGGGACTTGCAAGCACTTCCTCACAAAGGCGGGATGCCGAAGAGGCCAGTCACGCAAGTGGGCGCACCAGATGGAGGGCAACGAGAAGCGCTGAGTCGCTAGGAGCCGATGGTACAGACTGCTTGTCGTTGAGCTTATGAATCCGAGGCTTCACTCCACTTGGTCCTCCGTCACCACTTGGCCTTTGCTTCTGACCTTCTTTTCTG